GTCTGAGAAACACCACCAGCACAAACACCTCTTCCCTGTGCCGGGCTGGGCTGGGGGTTATCCATGGTGGGAGTCTGAGAGTGACAGATCCGAGGAAGCCCCATCCAGGAGGAGCCTCCCGCTGGTGCTCCCTGCCCTAGGAAATGAGCCTGGGCTCCATCTTGCAGAGCGGAGTGGCTGCAGCTGGGCTGGGAGGGGGCTGCCGAGGCTTTTTGCCTCCATTTCGCAGCTCAAGGTCCCTCGTGCAGTTAATCTGCCTGGCAGCGGTGGCTCCTGGCCCCGAGCTCAGGTGCCTCGTCTGGCCTGGCTCCGTGTGGCTCCGTTTTCTTCCCGGTCGCTGAAGAGCAACAAAAGGCTCCGTCCCTGCTGCTCCTCGTCCCTGCTTTTACTGCGGGCTCTGCTCTGCCAAATTCCCTTGGCTTTCGGAGACACCGGTGCCTCGCTCCGCAGTGCTGTGCCTTTCTTGGCTGACAATAGTCCCTGGCTGCAAAACCTCATTAGATTAATTGGCCTTGCCAGCTCCTGAACAAGCAAGGCCTTTAGTCGTGCTGGGGCGCGGAGGGCAGGGGAAGGAGGGAGCTCTGGGGCTTCCACGCTCCCTGGAGCTCTGTGTCCCAGCTCTTGGCTCTGCCCCGAGGCCGGGAGGAGCAGCCGGTGCTCCTGGCACCCTGCATGGGTGTGGCTGTGGCCAGGCAGTGCCTCTGCTTTTTTGGGGTGCACGGTAGCACGTGGCCCTGTGCTTTTGGGGTGACAGCCCTTGGAAGTCGTCTTTGGAGTCTGGGGGGTGTTGGTGAGTGTTGTGCTGGTTTAACCCCCTAAAACAAACACAGGGAGAACTCAGTCCCAGCTCTGCCTTCCCGGGTAACCCACAGGGCCCTACGCTTCCACTCTCCGGGGAAGCTGCTGGTACCTGGTGCAGGGAGAAGATGGGAATTGTTGGGAATTGTGTGCCCGTGCTCTCGGAGCCCCAGCCCTGCCCGTGAGCTGCAGTTTCCTGCCGCAGCTGGGGGAGCCTCTCCACAGCTCCAGTGCCTTGGCACACCAACCTTGGCCCTGGCCTTTGATCTCTGTCCTTGCCTGTCTGTCTCTTCCACACAACTCGGCACCGGATCACAGCTGGCTGGGCTGCGGCTTCACAGGAGCCCCCGTCTCCAAAGACCTATTTAATTTTCTCCTTCAAGGTGGTGTTAGCAACACCCAGAAGATGCTGCCGGCTGCCTTGGACGAGTGGGCTGCGTGTCCTTTCCACCACTGACGTCAGCTTCTCTCCCTTAATTCCCCCTCTGGGACCGAAGCGAGTGCAGGCGCTGCCAGCTCGGATCAGCGTTAACAGCCTGCTCTCCCAGTGTGTGGCAGCGCTCCGCCGTGCCAATGTCACCCCCGACTCGCGCTGCTGTCCCTGGCCAAGCAGCCATGGGTGGTGGGAGAGCACTCCCCTCTTCCAGCATCATGGGAAGGGCCCGCTGCCAGCAGAGAGTCCCCGTTCCTCGCACGTAGGTGTGCTGAGATGGCAGCTCAGCCCCTCAGAAATGGCTGACTCCTTCTCTCTCGCTCCTCTTGCTGCCTGGTGGTTTTTTTTTCTCTCCTCCTCCCTGCCTTTGCCGTTGCCTACGCGGTTGTGTGGGGAAGGCAATCGGCTCCCGTGCTGCGGATGGCTTTATCTGTAACTCTTCCATCTGCTCACAGCAGCTCACAAATAACCACGGGGTGCCAGAGGAATTATGTTATTTGGAGCTCAAGTTTCTGCAGTCTGGCAGGGCAGCAGCTCTGCGCCGGGCTCAGCCGCTCCGCAAAGGCCAGCGCCGGCATGGCGAGGGCTCGAGGCAGCCGGCGCGGAGCTGGGGATGTGGCCAGGGAGGAATTATCCTCCCCATCCAGTCAGACAAAACCCCAGCCCTCAGCCAGCATGGGAGTCTGGTCCTCTGGGAGCTTCCCAAGGGGAGCAGAGGGTCCCGCTGGCCCCAGGGCCCTGCGCCCCATCCAGGGCTCGTGGCACGAAGCCGCTTCTGCATGGGATGCTGTGGCGGGAATAAAACTGACTGACCCCTTCTCCACCCTGCACTTCGCTGTCTCCCACACAGCACAACCTTTTCAGACAGACTTTCCTCCCTGGGAAGCACCACCCCATGCCTCCCAGAGCCACGGCTGCGGTGGTGGCCCGGGATGATGCTCCGAGGCTGAGCCGGGAAATGCCTCCCGCTGCCTCCGGCATTTGGTAAAACGCTTACAGCGGGGCCGTGTTTTCTTCATTTCCTGCCTGCTCCTGCTTCCAAGGAAACAAAATCCCCCAAGCCAGGGCTGAGGTTTCTCATTTAAATGTAACCCAGGCCCATAACTGGAGCTGCCAGCCCTCCCCATGGCCCGGCGGACCCAGGGTGGTGCAGGGAGGATGTTGGGGATCATGATCCTGTCATGGGTGTCCCAGTAAGGCACTGGGACAGAGACCCATCCCTGGGATGAGGTGTGGGTGAGGGCAACGCTTGGCTCTGCCCCAGGGAGGGCACTCAGGGTTCAGGACGCTGGTGGGAGGTTTTGGGGTAGCAGCAACCTCCTCCCCTCCTCCCATCTGGTGAAACTGGCACCAGGGCTGGAGTGGAAGCTCCGTAGTGGGTGCTTTGGGACCAGCCCTGGCTCTGCCGTGGGTGCTGCCAGCGCTCTCACCTGCAAGGTGGCCAAGGGCAGGTCCTTGGAGCCAGATCTGAGCCCTGCTGCTGCCAACAGGACCAGGGCTGCCCACACTGGAGACAGGAAACAAATCCCGCCCCAGTCCCCTGCCTGCACTGCAGCACGGGCAGGGCTTGGAGGCAAGAGCTGGCTGTGCTTACGGCATCTGCTGGGAGCCTGGGGAGGGCTGGCCCTGCCAGATGTGTGAGCACAGTTGGGGTGACACCGTGCCCACATCTCTCAGCTCATGTTTTAACCCCAAAGTTGGGCTGTTGGTCCCCCCCGAGCCCCTCCTGCTCGTCCCCAGCGTGGGGGTGGCTGCTCAGCACTCAGGCGCCTTCTTGGATGGGTTTGGCTCTTTTTTATAGCTCCACTTTCTGCGTCTTTCTCCACCAAAAAAGGGAGCAGGCTGGGCCATGCTGCTGCAGGCTGTACCTCCCTGCCTGCTGCCGCCTCCTCCATCATCCCCCAAAGGCCTGGAGCAGCTGGGAATGCCTCTGGACTGGCTGGAGTGCTGGGAGAAGGACCAGCAACAGCAGGCTCGGGGGGTGGTGGCTCCTCCAGCCCCGTGCTCAGCCTCAGCTTCCCTCATCCATCCTGGCAGCAGGGAATCAGACACAGGTAGGAGGCACAGGGTGTGTTTCCCACCCAGGAAGGGGCACATGGAGCAGCCACGTGCTGGGTGATGGTCACCCTGGTGACTGGTGGCACCAGGGGACAGGGCTGTGAGGGTGACATTTTCGGGGCACCTGTGGTGGGGGGGAAAAGGGCTCAAGGGCTCCAGCACCAACAGCTCCCAAATTGCTGGCCATGGGGAGAACCCCTTGGCCTGGGTTGTGGTGGCTTTTGTCACTATGGGTCACCCCCAGGACTCAGTAGAAATCAGCCTCCCATCCATCTTGGAAGCCCACCAGCTCCAGCACAGCCCTGCCAGGGTCTGGGAAGGGGGAGCTGCAGCCCTGTGCCCACCCCCACCTCCAGCTGTGGGGGGTGAGAGCCTGAGGGGGATCCCAGCAGACCTGAATGGTGCTGCCTTTGTGCCCTGCACACCCTGGTGTGTCACCCTGTCCCCAGGGAAGGTGACACGGACCCCAGGGAGTGGGAGGGACTGGATGGGCTTGCACACCATGGAGAAGCTCCCTCTGAAGACATCAGCAGGGGAGGCACGAGGGACAGAGAGAAGCTGTTTCACCTGCCATGTGATGTTGACATAAGAACCACCAGGTATGAACTGCTCCTGAACACAGCAGGGCTGGGAATTACAGGATTTTTCACTGCTGAGGGAGGTGGGCTTAGGAATTATCCCCTGGCTGAGGGATGGAGGGCCCTAGGGTACAATGAGCATCTCCAACCCCTGCCTTAACCCCCCTGGGGACAAGCAGAGCCCCAAATTCCCCATCCACAACACTGAGCCCAGCCCTGGGAGAGCGGGAGACGATCTGTGGGTCTTTCAGTCCCTCTGCAACCCCATTTCCCCTCATCACTTGCTGCCACAGCCCCTTTCCAGCACCGAGCCGAAGGAAATCTTTATTTCCTTTGCAATAAACAGCCCCAACCCCCCGGGCTGCCACCAGGTCCCCGAGCCCAAGGTGAAGTGGAGCCTCGGGGTGGGGGGGCCGACACTCCTCCCACAGCACCAGCCGGCCCCGGCTGCTCCTCAGCCCCGGGCTCTGCCACATCCCGGCGCGTCTGCAGATGCACAAATGCCTGTGAGAAACCTGCTGCTCCCTGACCGGCGTGGGCAGGGACACGGGGGGCTCTGGGGGTGCAGAGTCCTGACACCAGAGGGGCTGAGCTGCCCTAATTAGCTGTGCCATCGTTAACCCTTCCTTCCCTGAGACGAGCAGGAGCACCGCCAGCAAGGACGGGTGTCCCACACCCTGTGTGAGCAGCGGCTCCTGGAGCACGGGAGACTCAGTGTGGGGGTGCCCCCCATGCAGAGACCCCCAGGAGAGGGGCTGGAGCGCAGTGATGGAGGCAGTGACACCATCCCGCTGGATGGACACGCACCCCCCCGGGAATGAGTCCTCACCGTCCCTGGAGGGGGGACACATCAGATGTCACCGGGAGAGCTGGGGGCAGCCCCTCTGCCCGCTGTGAGGATGAGGATGGTCAGGGCCCGCCCCCCCGGGCCGGCTCCTGCTAACAGGATGTGATGGGTGGGGGAAGCGCTGTCGCTTGGCATCTCTTGTCCGGGAGCAGGGAAACGGAGCGGGGAGACGGCCCTGATGGGACTCGGGGACCTCAGCCTGCTCTCCCTCCTCGGGAAACACCATCCCACCCCCTCCCCAGCATCAAACAGCCGCACCTCGTATCACAAATTAATTTATTCCCCTCCCACCGTTGTAAACAAGAAGCAGCCCCCCCACCCTCACCTTGGCCCCGAGAGGTCCCCACCCCGAGGGTTCCCCATCCTGAGGGATCCCCCATCCCAAGAGATCCCCATCCAGAGGGGGCCCATCACAAGAGGCCTCTTCACATCTATCTCCCCCCTCCAAAATGTGCAAATCCAACCCCAGTGCAAAGAAAGGCTTTGGCAGGGGGGAGCCCTGGGTGCCAGGAGGGGGGGTGGTAGCACCCAGAGGACCCCAAAACTGCTGGGTTTGGGGGTGTGGAGCCTCCGGCAGCCCCCTCCTCCCGAAGGCAGCGAGCACTAGAGGGCAGCAGGGCCCAGCGCTGGGCGGGAGGGAGGCACGGAAATCAAATTAAATAATAATTAAAAAAAATAAATAAAGCGATGGATGGACAGCTGGGAGAAGATGGGGGGGAGGGTTAGAGTCCCTCCTCCTCTGGCAATGAGTCTCTTCCCCCCTTCCCCAAACGTACAAAATATATTTTAACTATCTGAGGTAAATAATGAGGTTGTAAAAAAAGCAAGATGGGGGTGAACGTTCCTGGTGTCGCCCCCCCCTTAAAAAAATAAAGCATCGTAAATAGTTTTAAAGAAAATATGAGGATCTCCCCCCTCTCTCTCTGTCTCTCTCTCACACATAAATATAGATTATATTATGGATAAAAAATACGCTTTTCTCTCCTGTACATTCAAAAAGTGGAAAAATAGAGACCAAGAAGGGGCTGTGCCCGAAAAGGACGAGGCTGGGAAGAGCTGCCTGGTTCCAAGAGCTCCCGCAACGTTGCCTCTGGGAATGAGAAGGGGGAATAAAAGCGGATCCCCCGACTGCAGCCGGTGAGTGGAAGGTGCAGGGAGGTGGTTGGGGAAGGGGGCACATCAGACGTCGCTGGGGGAGCGGGAGCGGAAGGGCAGCGTGGAGGAGAAGCAGCCGCAGCACACGGCCCACAGCACTTTCTGGATCTCCTGGTTCCTGAAGGCGTAGATGACGGGGTTGATCATGGAGTTGTAGGTGGCGGGGAGGAGGGTGGCGTAGGTGTAGAGGGCCGGGTAGGTGTAGTCCCCCAGCAGGCAGTAGACGGCGAAGGGCAGCCAGCAGGACGCGAAGGTGCCCAGGATGACGGCCAGGGTGGCGATGCCTTTCCTGGTGGTGACGTAGTGGGAGCTGGCCAGGAAGTGTCTCTGCACGGCGATCTGGTGGGCGTGCCGGCACACGATCCGGCAGATCTGCACGTACAGCTGGAGCATCGCCGCGAACACCGCGAAGAAGGACACGGAGAGGATGATGAGGTGGTTCTTCGTCAGCGGCCTGACGACGCTGCAGGCGGGCGGCTCCTTCAGGCAGTTCCAGCCCATGACGGGCAGGAGCCCGTAGCAGATGGAGGCTCCCCAGGTGAGGATCAGCATGATGTAAGTCCTGGTGACCGTCCTCTTCGAGTAGTAGGTCAGGGCGTTGTAGAGGGACAGGTAGCGGTCGATGGTGATGGTCAGCAGGCTGCAGACGCTGGCCGTGAAGGAGGTGACCAGCAGCCCCACCGTGAGCAGGCTGACCGCCTCCGACGGCGCGAAGTAGACGAAGGCAAAGTGCAGGATCAACCCCAAACCCGCCAGGAGGTCGGCCGTGGCCAAGCTGCCGATGAGGAGGAACATGGGGGCGCGGAAGGCCGGCGTGTAGAAGATGACCACCACCACGATGGCGTTCTCGCAGGAGATGATGGTCCCGGAGACGCAGAGCACAACGTCCCACGGGTTCAAGGCCAGGGGTCTCACCACAGACTCCAGATCCAGGGAGCTGCCGCTGCCATTCCTGGCAGAAAACCAGCCCTGCTGGCCTTCGCTGGAGTTGGGGGGCCCTTTGTCCATCATGGTGGTGGAGGGTGACCTGCTGCAGCTGAAAGCAAAAGCAGCTCCCTCAGCACCTGCTGCCCTCATGAGCCCTCCCTGTGCCACTCAGCTGGGGACAGTCCTGCTTCCCCCCAAAAGTTGTCTACAGCAGGGGGGAACAGAGCTGTGTGTGTTTGAGGGGGTGCTCGTTGTTTGCTCCAAGGGGATTTCTCGAGATGAGGTGGTTTGGGTTTAAAACAAACAGGTGAATAAAGGGCAGGGGGACACACACACGACACCCCTGCTCCTGCCTGCCTGGGTGTTGGGCACTGCATGATTTTGGTGGATAAATCCTGGGGGAGCAGGACTGGCACTGGAAACCCTTCCCCAGCAAAGACTTCAGGGCCAAACCGAGGGCATCTCAAGCAGCAGGTGAAGGGGGTAACCCTCCCCCCCCCCAGACCAGCACCCCAGCGGGCAGACACACCCCTCCAGCCCCACCATGCACCCCCCAACCAGGGGATCCCCACTTACCTTGGGGGGTCTACCCCTCCCTGGGCAGGCAGCACAGCCCCTGGACGGGGTGTGGGGGGGGGCACGGCCGCTCCTCGCCGCCCTCCCCTTCGCCCTGCGGGCTCCCCCCCCTCCCGGTGCCCCCCCCCGCGGTGCCAGGCACTCACCTGCCGGGATGCTGCGGGGCCGGGGCCCGGGCTGTGCTGGGCTGCCCGGCTGGGGGGCCGCTGCCATGGGCGCTGCCGAGTTATAGTGGCCGAGCCCGGCCGGGGGGGCTCGGGGGGGGTTCGGGGGGTGACTCACCGCCGCCCCCCCCAAAACCCCGCTCACCCCGCCGTGACGTCAATGCCGCCGACGGGCCAATCAGCGCCCGCACAGGCAGCGCGGGCGCGCGCGCGCCGCATAGTAATCGCAGCTCATTCATAAAAAAAAAACCAGGCCCCTCACCCCCACCCACCACCCACCACCCACCACCCACACCCCGACCCACGCCCCGCTTCGAACCCCCCTGCCCACCTCAAACCCGGGCTCACGCCACCCACGGGACCCCCCCCCTTAAACCCCCGCGATAAAGGGGTGCGGGCTCCCCCCCACCTCCCCCCTCCCCGCAATGCAGAGGTTTGGGGGCTCCGCTTTGGAGGGGGCGGCCGGTGGGGAGGAGGAGGAGGAAGGGGTGAGGATGAGTCCTCCCCTGGCCCCGCACATCCAGGGGCGCGCAGCCCCCGAGGGTCCCCGCGGCCCGGCTTTCCCACGCGGGGCTGAATAATTCATGGTCGGGAGAAGCGGGAAGGCCCGGCCGGGAGGGGCTGCGGGAAGGGCGGCTGGCGGGGAGCCCTCCCCCTGGGGAGGAGGAGGAGGAGAAGAAGGAGAAGGAGGAGGAGAAGGGGGAGGAAGGAGAAGCCGTGCGCCCCCCGGGACTCTTCCCCCGCGCCGGTTCCTCGAAACCCGGGGAGTTTCCCTGTCCCCGCTGGGGAGGGGGGGGGGTCCCAGGGTACCTGGGACTGCCGGGACCTCGCGGGGGTCGAGAGCCCCTGATGCTCCCAGAGGGGGCTGCGGCCGCCCCCTCGGAGCTCGGCCAGGGACCGGAGGGTCCCGGCCCGGTTCGGCCCGGCGGGAGCTGTTCGCGGTGCTGAACGAGAGGACCCGGGCCCCGGGGGGACCCGCCGCAGCCCCGGGGAGGGTCGCGGTGCCCCGAGCGCGGGGCAGGGGTGGGGGGGTATATGGGGTGTGCAGCGGGCTGTGTGCGGGCGGGCTGTGCGGTGTTCGGGGTGTACCGTGCACAGGCAGCGTGCGGGGTGTGCGGGATGTCCGGGCGTGAGGTGTGTGCTGCGTGTGCGGGTTCAGGTGTGCTGGATGTGCAGGGTGTGCAGTGAGTGTCCAGAGCGTACAGGGGGTGCAGTGTGTCCAGGTGTGCAGTGTGTGCAGTGTGTCCAGGTGTGCAGCTGTGTTCAGGCGTGCAAGTGTGTACAGGTGTGCAGTGTGTACAGTGTGTTCAGGTGTGCAGGTGTGTGCAGTGTGTGCAGGAGTACAGTGTGTACAGTGTGCACAGTGTGTACAGTGTGTTCAGGTGTGCAGCTGTGTATAGGTGTGCAGGTGTGTACAACCCGTGCAGCAGAACACCCCGTGCCAGGGGTTCAGCCCGGACCCCACGGTCCCGGGTCAGCCGCGGCTTCCCCACGGCCGCGGCAACGAGGGGAGTGTGTGTGGGGAGGGGGGGGGGGATGCACCTCTGGAGAGACCCCCCCTTCCCGGGCCGGGCCTGCCGGGGCGGGGCGGGGCGCGACGAGGCGGGGCCGCCCCCCCACCCTCCCCCGCCGCCGCCGGGGCCGCCTCCCTCGGGCGCGCATCTGCCCGGCGCTCCGCTCCGCTCTCCCGGGAGAGCCGCGGCCACACCGCCCGCTGGGACCGGGCCGAGCCGCGCTGAGCCGAGCCGGGCCGGGCCATGGCCCCGCCGGGTCCCGGGGCGCTGCGCTGCGCGCTCCTGTGCGCGCTGCTCTGCGCGCAGGGACCCGCTCCCACCCGCGCAGGTACGGCCGGGGGGCGCGGGGGGGGAGAGCTTGGGGCTTGGAGGGTGGGAGTTTGCAGCTTTGGGGCAGATGAACTTTTTTTGGGGGGGTCTTTTCTTTCCAGAGGCTCCTCCCGCCCCCACAAGACTCCGTCGCCTGCTCGGTTCGCAGGGAGGGGGACCCCTTCTCCCAGCCGTGTTCCGGGGGGCTGGGACCCCCCAGGGCCGGGAGGGGTGCGCTGGGCTGCTTCTGGATAAGCGGGGTGCAGGATCCAACCCCCCCGAAAAAAGTGTGGGGATCTCGTGGCTCGTGGCGGGGAGCGGGGAGCGGAGCCGTCATCCCCCTTCCCGAGGTGCTGCAACTCCGGGCATTAATTATGCAAACCCCCGGCATCCTTCTGCCCCCCTTCTCCCATCCCCCGCTCTGCTCCCGGGAGACGTTTCCACCCTGACTTATCCCAGCGGGACTCACGCGTGTTCCCAGAGCCCACGGGGATGGGGGTGCCCTCAGCCGGCCCCGCTGCCCCCCTTTATTCCCTCTCCCTCCCCACACCTGATGGCAGGAGCGGGAGTTGACAACACTGGGCTCAAACGTCTGTTCCTGCGCCTGCCGCGATAAAAATAACTTAAAATTACAAACCTGCCTGAAACCCTTGCGAACAAAGTCCTACTTTCCCATTGGCTCCCGGCAGGTCTCTAAATGCTGGAGGGGGGGCCGAGCGGAGTGCCCACCCTCCTCCCGTAGCCATGGCAATGGGGCCGCAGCATCCCCGCTTCCTGCCTTGTGCCACCAGTTGCCCCCTTGGCTTTTGCTGGGAAAAAAAGAGAAGGGACTTTCCCATCAGCCAAGCACGGTTTTTAGGGGACCCTAAAAGCTGGGGGGCTGGCGCTGGTCACCCCGAAGGGAGGTGGTGTGGTGGGAAGCGCTGCCGGCAGGGATGCCTTGTGCTTGGTAGGTCCCTGCCTGGAAAGACCCCTGGGGAGCCGACCCAGGGGGTTGCCAGCCCTCAGCGAGCTCTGGGAGGAGGGTTTGCCCCCTGAGAGCCTGGAAACACATCCAGGGTGGGAAATGGCTCCCGGGTCTTTCCCGGGATGGTGCAAACGCGGGCGTGGGACGCGGGGAGGTGCAGGGAGGGCCCGGCCGCGGCTCGTCAGTCGCAGCCTCCCTCGCCGACAGTCAGCGCTGTAAATTAGTGATGAGCGTGTGTGTGGGAAGAGCAGCTCCACAAACACCCGAGTGACTCATGGCCCTCACCGGGGCCATGAGAGCGGGGGGTCCTGAGGGGCGATCTGGGGGGACAAGGGTGTGATGCTGCTCAGGTAACCCCGACCAGGCTGTGCTGCTGCCTCCTCATTGCATTTAAACATCCGCCAAAAGATCCCAGGATCCCAAATCCCAGCCCAGGGCTGGGGGATGTTTCCCTGCACTGTGGGTGATGGGGTGAGCCCTGTGTGTCCCAGGCTGCGAGCTGTGGGGTGTCCCCTCTCTGGAGAGCTGGTGACGCTGCAAACACTCCACTGGGACGGGTGTGTGGGTGGGTTTGGTGCTGTGGGATGTGCCTTCATCCCTCCCACAGCATCATCCAAATTCCCACTCTATGGAGCTGAGGGTCCAGCCTCAACCCCAGAGCCAGGGGGACAGATGCTGGCCCTGCCTTCATCCCTTTTCCCTGGATTTGGCAGGAGAGTGTGGCGAGCTGAGGTCCTGTGAGACATGTACGGCTGTCACCCCCTCACACAACACCACCGGCTGCGTCTGGGTGGGCTGCAGGACCCCTGAGGAACCAGGTGAGGGGCTCAGCTGGGGGGGACAGCGAGGGGCTCCCACCAGCCTTCTCCAGCCCCTGTCACTGGGCTGGGGCAGTGCTGGGATGGTGCCAGCACTCAGCACCCTCAGGTGCCCAGTCCCAGCTGCTTTCCATGGTCAAGGTCTATCTCAGCTGACCCATCCAGAGGGAAGGGGGGGATCTGTGCCAGTCCAGTGGGCAGGGGTGTAGGTTTTGGTGTGTGCTACTCCCCGCCATGCTGGGATAACACTGGGAACCCTCTGTCATGTGCACACGGAGCAGCATCGAGCAATGGAGAAGGAAGAAAACCAGCTGTTCATAAAGCCCCTGTTTGGGGCTCTTCCCTGAGGGGGTGCAGATAAGAGCCCCAACTCACAGCCCCTTGGAGGGATGAATGTCCAGCCCTGGGAATGAGTCCTCATCATCCCAAACCCTCTGGTGCTCAGGGCAGCCCAGGGCCCAAACACCATCGGCTGCAGTGGGTGCTGGATTGGGATCCTTAGGAAAACCCTACTCCCTCTTCCCGTAGAAACAGGGAGCTGTGTGCAGAGAGGGGCAGCAACACGGGAGACCTGTGCACTCTACAACACCAGCACCCTGTGCCGAGGTAACCCCAGACCCCCACAGCCCCCCAGGCCCAGCAGCCTTCGGGACAGAGGTGCTGCTCTGGGTGCTGTGGCCATGGAGAAGAAGTCCCACCCCTGGGACAGGGGTCTGGGGTGGGGGGTGTGTGGCAGTGTCCCCTCACACCCCTTCTTCCCCCTTCCCTCTGTCCCTGCCCTCTCCAGCTCTGAAGTCCCCCACAGAAGAGCCTCCACGGTCCCACAGCAAGGAGCCAGTGACACACTCCACAAGTGAGTGGGTCTGGGGGGTGGGAGGTGGTGGGATGAGGGTCCTGGCTGCCTCAGGGATCAGTGCCCAGTCCCAACAAGACAATTCCCTCCATATTTCACACCCCTTTGGGAGGGATGTGCCTCAGGGTTGCATCAGTGGACTGTGCCCCAAGAGGTGCCACCGCTCTCCTGGGTCGGAGCTCTGTCCCTGTCCCCCCCTCTCTGCCCTGGACAGTGCTTGGATGGAGCTGAGGGGGTCATGTCACCCCACAGCCCTCCAAAAACCATCCCTGATGCCATCCTTGCTGGAAATTCCACCTCCAGCCTGATTGGAGCTGGGGCTGGGAGCAGAGAATAAGCCTCTTCCAGGAAGCGGGAACTGGAGAGCACTGGGCTAATTACGGCGGGTAACCAGAGCCCAGAGCCCTCTGAATTATTGATCCCACTGGGATCTTTTTCCTGCTGGCTCCTTTCCTGCAGCTCCAACTGCTATGGCATGGGAAGGGGTTGAGCCCATCCCAGCATCCACATGTTGGTGGGCACATCCTAGCCCCAAGCTGGGAACTACCATCCCTCCCTGTGCAGCAACTGGGGGCTGTGTGGACCACAAATTGCCTCCCTTTGGCAGGATCATCAGA